TCACTCATGAGCTACACTGTGTGTGATCTAAACTAGAGTCCACACTAAATTCTACGAGTCACTCTAAGATGTTCCACTACTCGTTCCTCCTCCTCACTACCGCCTACATCACTCATGAGCTACAGTGTGTGTGATCTAAACTAGAGTCCACACTAAGCCTACCTCAGCATGACACACAACCGGGTATGAACAATCGTTTAACTGTGGTCACTTTAGAGAGAAGTAGTCAAGTAGTAACCAACAATCAATGTCAGATCCTACAGGCAAGTTCAATTCTATTTTTAGATTACTCTTGCACAGATTGCAATGCAGCAAGGAAAAGGACTAACCTATCTGCAGCTGTCTGTCAGTTGTTAACAAGTCCGTAACAACCAAAAATAAAAATAACCTACCTGTTGAGTTGGATGGTAGTTTTATCTAATTAGTGCCACCGCGAACAGTTACCGGAATCCCCCCTCTCCCTATATCCTTCTTGAGTTGTCTCTTTGTGTCAACGCCCTGAGCATCTGGTTGGGAAGCGTGTCTGAAGGTGTGCAATCCGGCCCACCCCTGTGCCCCAAGTCAACGCCGAACCTGCCATCCCCTGCACCTTATTTATCCTCGCATGCAACGAGCCTTACACCCGGTTTGATATGGCTGATCAAGAGGCAGTTTAAGGACAACCCCCAAGGTCCTCAAGAATTATTTAACGTCGCAGACAGGACGACGATCACAGCCAGAATCAACACCGAGYCCCCGCCACAAATATTTAAAGACGGTCTGGAAAGCGTCTGTTCAAAGGGCTGGCATGCCCTGCATGACCTCTATTGCGCAGCAGCAGAACCAAGGACTTGCGGCAAAGCATGCTTGTACTAGTCCCAGCGGGTTGGCATGGTGACCGTGACCCGAGTGCTTCGTCCAGGGCCCTTCAGAGGCATCGCCCATCTCCCACCAGCTTGCTGCCCAGGAAGAATGTCGACTCTCGAGGTTGAGCGCTCGCAACACCTCACATTGAGAGGACTCTCGAGACACAACTCACTTCCTCACGGCAACCTGATGTGCATTTATGATGACCGGTCTTTGCCTCAACACAACCAACAACAGAATGCAGTTCCACCTCGCCTTAAATGCCACATCAACAAGCTCTCATCATCCAGCGTACATCCTTAATGTCACCACATAGCTTCCTGGCACGCCCACACGACCTTGGGCCGCCTCACGTTCCACGCCCAAGCCTTATCACTGCCCCACACCTCATGCGAAGCACCGAACAGCTATTGCAAAGAACCAATGAGCGCAGTTCGAACCAGCTGCGATACCAAATTGCAAGGAAAATGAGCAATAGCGAGATGACAATGACCAGCATACACAATCACATCGAAGGCCAGATAGTATCACTGTGTCCAGAAAGCAGAAATGCACCAATGTAACACCAATCAAGAATCGTAACACTGAAAACCAATGTCAATGAGAACTGGCTCTCGCCACCACCAACATGAGTGCCCAGGCCCTATCTCCTACTTGGGGCTCGGCGCCCAGCCTACTCACTACATTGACAATGCAACTGTTGACGTCAGCAGCCCACAAAGTACTTGAAGATGTCGCCCAGATCATATTATAGATATCCAATATATGATAATTATCATTATAATAATAATTATCATATTGTATATCTTTCACTTGCCAATACCAGGTATGTGGCCTCACATCATCATCATCATCATCCTTCTCCCTCTCCCTCGTCTTACACCCACTCCTCCCCCCTGTACACCCGAAGACCACCCCTGCGTGCACCTCACTGTAGTCCAAGCCCAACCCAGCTATGGAGGCTGGGCTATGGCGCTGCCCTCAGCAACGCCCTGCTCCCTGCACGAGCGCACGCGCTAGCACCTCGCCTCTCAGCGCCAGCAGCAGCCCACGAACGTCCGCTCCAGCAGCGCTGCCGCTAGCATGCGAGTGCCTGAATGAGTGGCCAGGCAGCGAGCTCTCGTATATGGAAAAGAGCTGGCCTGCCTTCACAGCCTGGCTGCAGAAGCTTCCGGTAGGGCCCAGGATGCTGCGCCTCTGGTGCAGCTACTGGGCCTCATTCAGTTGGGCCCCCCAACTGTCTGTGTATGAGGCTGCGATTCTCATCCAGGGCCTGCATCATTTTGGAAAGGCCTGGAAGGCCGTCGAAAGTCTCGCTGCTCAGCCTGTGTTTTCATCAACCAACTGGCCCGACGAAACTGCCTGGACCCCAAATACGAGATTGACAGCTTAGGGCCTCTAGTGATTTGTCAGGCCTGCCTTCACTCAGGGCGGGCACATCTGCAACAAGAGGCCCCTCAGGCCTGCCGAGGACCCAGATCCTCGCAATTTAGTTGGCCACTTCGCGTTGGCGCGAAGCTTCAATACTACGGTTTTTTTAGGATGGGGGTGTTTTTGAAGCTTCGCGCATTGCTATTTTATTTTTGCAGAAATTGAGAAAAAGCGATGTCCGTGGAGAATCACGAATTATCGTGTGCACTGACAGTTGAACGCGTCGTGGCAGACGGCGTCATAAAAGTAAGGTGTCCCGTTGCAAGCGTAGGGTGAATGTTGTCGAACTTTTAAGGCGAAGTACGTAGGCGTTGTCCGGCCTCGTGACGGTACCTAGCCGTGGACATTATAGAGTTGCACGAGTCCCACCTCGTGACGGTACCTAGCCGTGGACATGCGTGACCGGGCCCCCGCTCCCGTGCGCAATGCATGATACGAACAGCTGAATGAAGGCGCCCGTTTGTGGCAACCACCGTACATCCCCTCCGCAATCGTATTAACACAACAACGAACACCAGCCGGCCTTGCCACAAATGGAAAGAGGTATGAGGTACCAGCCATACTGTTTCCACTCCATGGGACGCCTTATGGTTTCAACGACAGAGAAGACCGTGCACATGGTGACATGGTACGGCCAGATGCATCCGAAGAGGCTGGCGGGCCGGTCGCATTCGGATGTACCTCGAAGGCATTGCCCAACTTGGAGGGTTGCTCTGTCGAACGGGCACACCCGTGAAGTGTGGATGCACTTGATGTACTGTCATGATGTGGATGTCAGACTGATCCTTGTATTTTTCGTTGGCGTTGTTTTCTTTACATTTCTGGAAATAAAAAAAAGGATTCTTTATATGTTTTTTTAAAAGAAACGGCCGCCACACACTGTTTTACGTGATGCTAGTGGGACGAGGCCCCAGGACCATAAGGGCTTTTTTCTTTTTAATTGTTTTTTTTGGTGTTTGGTCTATGGACTGGTGGAACGTTTGGGTAAAAGGGTTCGTGGTTTTCTGATTAATGCCAGTAAAACATCAACAAAAATTTTGGCCTTCTGTGAACCGTCTCTCACCTATGCAGGATCAAACATCTCAGAACTGCTAAGCTCAGGATTCGTCAAAATGAAGAAAACTGGGAAATAATGGTTCTCAATATGAATTGGGGATGAGTTCACCGAAAACATTCAAGCCTCGAGAGAGTGCCATACCAGATCATAAGTATGGAGTCCTGAGACAGTTTTCCGCCAAGCAGATCGGTCCTTTGCAAAACTATCCTTTGAGTAAGGGATTTTCAGTCTTTCCTCTAGCTCAAGCAAGGAGCGTGCAACATCCCTGATTGTATGTGCATCCTTTGCTCGTCTGCACCACTCCTGCATCAATACCCAGATTGCACAATGCGATTGTTAGCATTTGTTACCTATAAACCCAACTAGGAAACGTCATCTTGAAAAACATTTGCCTCCCAAGAAAGTGGGTTTCATGCTCCACCCGCTTCATCTATAAATGCGACAGGGAATCTCTCTCTTTTCCAAGTGACTCAATTGCCATGCTCCAGAAAAGCTCCATATCTTCTTTTTCCTGTCACATGACCTAGGAGTTCACCACATTTTCAGTAGCAAAATGCCAGGCAGGTTTTTGCTAGGATCATTATGAGATCTTCCTGAGATGAGGCAAACCCCTGCTAACAAAAGACCCTGACAAGATGAACGTTAGAGAAATCTCTTTCTTTCAACCTGGCAAGATGAACATTAGAGAAATCTCTCCCTTCCCGTCCCCTCCCCTGCCCTTCCCTGGTATCCAAGGAGCAACTGCAAAACCTTAGTTAAGCTCGAGCTCACACCAAACACCATGGAGCCACCCTCATGTCTTCATGCGCTTTTCGTTCACCTTCTTGGGCTATGACAAAGCATTTTTTTTAAAGGACTAACTCGTTTGTCCCATAAGTGGACCAGGGGCCAAGTCCCACTGGCATCTGTTCAGTTTTGGATTCGTGCGACAGCCAGGACATCAGGAAAAAAAGAAGAAAAAAGAGCCAGATATTATCTGCGGCCGTTCGGTTAGTGGACCGCCGGAAAGAATCTGCTACATCAATCCCGTAGGGAGAGAGAAAAGGTGAAGAGAGACGTGGCAGTTGTATCTGACGACGAACAGACCAACCACAAATTTCTTCAGAGACATTTTATCAACAAAAAGAAGAAAGCAAGGCGGTCCTCGTTTCTGGCGTACAGCTTCCTAGGCTAGAGACGGGACCCTAGGATGGTGTGCGCATTGCCAGTGTTAAGTGACTTTTCTTTTCTTTTTGCTGACTTTTCTTGAATTTTCTTTAACATTTTATTATATATTCTGCAAGCCCCCCTATGTCTGGGTGACGGATCTGCTAGATCCAATGGCAATAATGTGTCACTCATCGCCAGGGTCGTCTGGTTTAGGGCCTGCAGGGACTCGTCGCTGCATCACACTGTACTAGAATTCTAAGAAGCTAAACTAAACCCCCACTAGTGAGACTAGGCCCCAGTATTAACTTATCTGTCCCATAAATCCTCAGTAGACGACTGACCATAATGTCCGCTGGCCTAACAAAATCGGACCGGAAGGAAGGTAATAGGTTCAAATAAGGAAGGGCTTACGGTGGATACCTAGGTACTCAGAGACGAAGAAGGGCGTAGTAAGCGACGAAATGCTTCGGGGAGTCGAAAACRGGCATAGATCCGGAGATTCCCGAATGGGGTAACCCCTTGTACTGCCGCTGAATCCATAGGCGGATAAGAGAGAACCTGGTGAACTGAAACATCTTAGTAGCCAGTGAGTTGCATTCTTAGCTCAGCTGGATAGAGCAACAACCTTCTAAGTTGAAGGTCACAGGTTCAAATCCTGTAGGATGCTGAATTCTTCGGGAGAGTGGCCGAGTGGTTAAAAGCGACAGACTGTAAATCTGTTGAAGGTTATATTTCTACATAGGTTCGAATCCTGCCTCTCCCACTTCGTGGCCTTCATACATTCATGAATTACATGTAATGTGCATACGAGGCTCATATTCGAACCTCAGGATGCTTTTTGGACTTTATCTTCATCTCTTGTGATTGAGAAATGAGAGATGGACTTTCTTCTTTCTCTCTCCAGATATAATTGAGTCTAGAGAGTGGGTAAGTAAACAAGATAATACGCCGCCGGCCAAATCCAACCATCCCAGCTCTTATCTAGACTGAACCCTTAGCTAATGGGAATTGAAAATTGACGATGGCCCGGTGGGATTGAATTCATTGATTGCTCTAGCTTACTGAAACCTCACGGAGCATAAGTTTTCTTTCCTTCTTTGCTCTCTGTTGGCACTGGTTGCTTTTCCCACAAGTTCCACGCTGGTGCTCGTCAGTATACAACAAAAACTCTGGAGTTTGGACAAAGTACTCAAGATGCGTCATCATAAAACCCTGCCTGCGAGAGATCTGTTATATAAACTTCATATCATCATATATGACGACAGAACAGACGACAAAGGTCCATTTACATTTCAGGCTATCCTCCGATTCATTCCACGAACTCCCCGCTTTTGCAATTAAACCACCAGTACTTCCTAAAGTCATGCCTATCAACAAGCCACAATTTTAGGAAATGTACGGGCGACTACAAGAGAGCCCAAATTCATCCGACTAGAAACGTTTGTATTCTATTTTTTTTCACGGCAGATAGCTGGGCCAAGTACTCGTGGCTTAAATTCCACATGGAGAGAAAACTGCCTCATTTGCAAGCTTCCAATACCAGTAAATGCAAATGAATGAACTTTAATGAAGCGATATACATATCAATAGACACAAAGATGCATTAGACTTTACTATCACAAAGAATACGTCTTTGATAAAGAACCCGACATTGTCCGGCCATCACCCTTCTGCCTAACCCTGCTCAAGTGACGGCCCAGTAACATTGCCTACTGGGTCAGACCGGGGCCGACATTTCCACCTGCGCGGCATCCATTGTGGTCATAGCAGATGCTGACGGGTCTGGTACACTCCATATTCTCACCCGCAGTCTGGTTTGAAGTTTCCCAGTCTAAATATATCAAAAGTTCAAAACATGATTAGACTTCAGTCAACTGAGTCAAGTGTTTGGCATATGATGAAGTATGAAGTGCAAACGGATCCCAATTTGCCGAATCACCTCTACAAAATTGGGATCATCATGCGGTTCCTGTCATAAGGCCGCACTCAAAACAGGTCCTAGCTCGTTGCAATCCCCATGCCCATTCATTCATTCATTCATTTATTCATTCATTCATTCATTCATATCTCTATATTTTAACCATGCTAAAACACAGGGATAGTGGCAGGGGCAGTCCCACCTTTGTTTGACAGTTGATGGCCCCCTTTTCTACTTTAGCCCAGCTGCAAAGGGGTCGCATTAAACATCCATCTCACACAGATTAGCATAACTTCAGTATGATAGAAATCATAGCACCTTCTCATTCCCTGCTCTATGCTCTTACTACGCCGTTAGAGATCCGTGTTCTCGACAATCAATGGCATATATCAAACTCCTGAAGATTGATAGTGTTTGATAGCAGATACTTAACTTAGACTACCAAAGCCCCAGAAGATAAGGCGGAAACTAAATAAGGAGCCCAGCCTAATAGCTACTCACCAATCGTTGGCCTTTCCACGAGGGTGGTATCACAGCTGCAGGCGCACTTTCTTCTATTTCAAGAAGAACCTGACACATATGATTCAAATGATTCAACCAACGAAGGCAGCAGTCACTTTCAGAGGAATGTTCCATTCGCTTGACACGCAAAGTAACCCTCAATAACAAGTACTTTTGAGTCTTGACCCAGTCAAGTAAGGTTGGCAGGGTCAACTTGAAAGAAGGTGTCTACCAGAAGGAATGAGCACCAGAATGTCCACTCGAGCTCCATTATGGGGTTTATGTTTAGGGTTTGATGGTATGTTTGGCATTGAACACAGAAGGCCAGGGAAAAGAGTTCAAGGTGGGCCAGTTTCCGCTCTCAAGTTTGCACAAGCAATGTCTGCACTGGCAAACATGAAAACACAACCAAGCATGCCTCCTTTTCATCTGTTAGGACTTAGAACCTGTTAGATTACTATTACTACTTTTCTTGTTCTCCACGATTCTGGAGTAATCAATACTGGTCAGGGTTCCTCTTGCCAGACGTCATGATGTAATATTTTATTCTGACTTGCCGGTGGAATAGGAACCGGACTGACACTCCCCAGAATGGAAATGGAGCCAGGACCACAAGGACCTGTTTTATTAAAAAGAAACAAAAAAAGGAAAAAAAAGAGAAAAAAAAAAGAAAAAAAAAGAAAAAAAGAAAAAAAAGAAAAGAAAAAAAGATTACTACTAAGGAAAGATGTTCACATAAGACTCCTCACCGCTGATTCTGCAGAACATTACCTTGTTCCACTCCATTGATAACGTGTGCCTGATGGAAACGAGATACAGCATGGCATCCACATGTCCCCAAACGCATGTGCAACGACAAGAGATCTTGGAGAGAGCAATTCACACCACACCGGATGACAGAATACACAGTGGAAGCACTTAAACCAAAAATGGAATTGAAATTACTCAATTCTCATTAATATCCCGCTCCCTCCAGCCAATCAATGCACTGTTATTTCCAAGGATCCCAACCACGTTATTAACATCCACGAACCAACTAAGAAGAGAGTTTCAACAAGTACGGGAGACTTCTTCTTCCTCCCAGCCTCAAGCTCACACCTATGGCGGAGGCCTGCACCCAACCTATCAAGCCCATCAAGCACCACCAAAACTCCTGAACTTGACATGCCACTCAGCAGTCCAAACTCGATGCCCACTGCAGATGAAGTGTCCGCTCAACAGGGCAGGGTAGCTCCCAGGACGAAGACGAAGAGCACCAGCGCTTGATGAAGAAGGAGATGGCTTCCACTTCGACAAACACTTGCAAGAAGGGTTTCGATGGTGACCCTGCCTATCCCCAACAGCACAGGTAAGAGGAGGCGCCTCACAGCGCTCAGGGCCTGATGCCCAGCACAGTCACAACACAAGCCAGGAAGCCCCAGCTATGGAGGACAGCCCTAGCAGCATGAAGATGATGCCGCAAGTGAACTAACGCAGCACCCAAACAGCAACCGACCTCCAGCAGCACTTCGTGGAAAAAAATGACGAGACAGAACCCGTTTGTCCTTGCCTTCGACACTTTTGTAGACTGCTGTTTTCCCTGACTCGACAGCCTATAGCCTAAGACCGAATCTAGACCTAAAATTGGCAAAAAGGGAGGACAGAAACGACCTACAACTCAGGGCAAAAAGGACAAAACAGAGAGACCTACCATCTTCACCCGAAAACAACGCCCGGCGTTATATTCAACTTACCCTAAAAAGATGAAATTTTCGTTTTTATTCACTTTTTCCAAATAGAACACCCCTTCGAATAGAACGTCCGGGTTCAACTAACCCTAAAAAGATGAAATTTTCGTTTTTACTCACTTTTTTCAAATAGAACACCCCTTCGAATAGAACGCCCGGGCGTTACATTTGAATATTCCATGGGCAGAGTGCCTTGAGGAAGTAGAATACATGGGTTTTAAAGTGCGGGGAAGAGGGTATACATGGGTCTTGAAGAGGGTTGAATCAACTTGAATGGGGTTTTGACTTCCAAGGGGTATATTTTGGCTTTGGTTTTCGTTTTTATTTTTTATTTCCGAGTTTATAAGGAATTCTGAAGTGACCCTCAGCCAAAAGTCGGTCGCATTCCAATCCTGGACAACATATATTGTTTTTTTCAGAATTTTTTGTTTTGTTTTCTTTTCCGGAATTTTGGGGCCTCACAGAAGTTACCACAAATTTACTGAATATAACGCCCGGGCGTTATAAACGAATATAACGCCCGCCGAATATAACGCCCGCCCGGCCGTCATTATATTCGTACACAACGTCCCGGCGTTATTTTCGGGTGAAGACATTAGTAGTATTACAGCTAGCCTACAGAGATTACTCCAAACAGACCTCGGGATCAAGCCACGTTGGGCTCTCACACAAAGAAAAACACACAGCAAACAAAACAGGTCACGGGATCGAATCGCGGAGAGCTCAAAACCAGGCAACATCAAACGAAGTTAGTGTACAGCCCGAATGCCACTGCAATTCATTGCACCATCGCATGACACAGGCAGATGCACAGACAAAGACCCATGCTACTACACAAAGTACTTGGGGTCCAGTTATCTCTGTATATCGTGGCAATGTCTGAAAAAGGAAGGGCGCTAGACCCTAAACATGATCCCAGAAAATGTACCAATTCAGCAGCAGTGCGCCCCCAGACAAGGGGCAGACTTAGGGACAGTGACCCCTTCGGTCAAAACAAAAGAAAACGGATTCCTTTAGGAGTCGAAAACCGGGCATAGACCTAGAGGTCCATGTGAGAAGGTCAAAAATTCGTATTGTGTCAAAATGTGCCTTCCGTATACATGTCCCCGTGAAAACATAAAAGGCGTCTGATTCAAATGCCTCTGCATGAAAAGACAGAAGTCACAGAACCATCCAATTTTGGCATAGCACCGGACCAGAATCCAATCCAGAAGTTGCCCGCCCAGGCTCAGATGCTCACTTGCCATGGTGAAATCTCACCTCATGTTGACAATTCATCTCAACCATTCAATTGGCTCAGAACTGGTAAATCAAGACTGTAAACACTGGGGCTGCGGTGGGCCTCAACAAGCAACACATTCAGGAGTAGGCATTCTGAAGACAATCTTGATGCTTAGATCAAGGAGGCTGCGTTGTGGCTTTGCAATCAAGCCTAGATACTGCTTTGAAGGGACGTCGCTGGATGTCTTGGCAAGGAAAATCAAGGACTCGCTGGGACAGAGTTACCTATTGCCAAGGGGAGATCAGTTAATGCACTGAAGTTTTAAGAAAAACATAGAAAATTGATCGCGCCGCGATTAACACTCTTCTTGTTGTCTAGGGACTGAGCATTCAACTCTCTTCACCCTTTCTTTAGTATTTAACCTAGATTTGTTCCACGCAGTAGGCAAAGCTTCAAGCAATTTACCGGGAAGATGGAAGGAAAGAGAAGAAGCATTCGGGAATCCATTGAAATTGCAGATGCAAGAAACCGGGGTCCACACCAACACAAGAAAAAAGAAGTCTTAGTCGAAGTTCGGGGGTCGAAAGCCGGCCTCGGAGCCTCTAGAGAGGCTGCAGCAAGTCCTAAGACCAGCGGCCATGGTTCGATCTGGCTCGTTGTTTTTGAGTCCATTTTTGGTGAGTCAGTCGCGTTCGGGGGAATATTACATCACAATTACTTTTTCTAAGTTTTTCATCTTGCATCTTCCTTCTTCTTCATCTTCTCGGTCTGTCTATTCACCTTGAGTCTGTCTAAT